ATTAAAACACCCTCGGATGAGGTATTGTGCGGGAAAGACCTTTCTTTGTTTTAAAGTGACTTTTCCGACAGGTTTTCTCATTAGCAGAAACTCTCGACAGACAGAAACTCTAAAAGAAAAAGTTCTTGTTTTACGCACATCAAGGAGGAGTCAACAACCCCTCTAATCATTATTAGTATTTCTTAATGCCTCCAGCCAAGCAAAGAATTTCATAAAGGCCCCAACTCCTTGTACGTGAAAAATAACCCAGATGACTACGCCAGATGGAAGTATAACCGGAAGCGTGGCAGGGACTTTCCCTTTGACCTTCATCCTGCTCCATGATCAGCCGTTAAATCTTTCCTCAATATTGCTGTAATGTAACAACAAAGTTAGTTTTTTAAGATCAGACAGTTCCCAAAACATTCCTTACACACCCCCGCAGTCACTCAATTAGCATCTGTGGCACAAATAAGCTTCAGGGACTGACTTGTTTTTTAGAACCGACCTTTGACACTTGGATGTTGGCTTAATTTTTACCCAAAGAGAAATTTGACCCTAATAAAAAAAAAAAAAACCACGATACTGTGGTGAATACTTACCTCAACTTTGATGGGTTTTTTCACAGCTATTTATTTTGAAAAAAAGTAAACATGTCACAAGGACACAATGCACATTGCAGAGTACATGAATGGGAAGTAGGAATTCCTCCTCTCTATACTTACACTCCTCCCAAACAAATGTCAAGTCATCATTTCCATATTGCGTGTCCCACTTTTCGAGTTTCATTGAAGTGTATCCAAGTGCACAAGATGTAAAACAATGTATTCGTTTTTTAAGCCCTTCACCGAGTCCCCGTCAAGATGCCGTTCATTTAAGAGACTAATAATTTTTTGAATTTAAATTGTGCTAACTTCAACGCAGTAACATTAAAAATAAAACATATTAGAACTAATTTTTGTCGGACACAAGAACAACTCGAGCATCTTTCTTTCGGGAGCCGAACTAGGGCTTACAAGTTTGCCGTGGCCCTGGGGACCAGTGCGAGGTTGTGCGGCAGATCCTGGCGTGGAGGGTCCAGACACTCCCACAGTGCAGACTTTGCTATCCGCACAGAGCGTTTCTGGTGTGGCTTATGCAAAAGAGACAATACAGCTCCCTGTAAGCATGTCTGTTGTAGCCTGTCCTTTATAAATATCTCTTTGATTATTCAAACAGTGTTTAAATTGTGACTCGTTTGTTATCCAAAAACATTTTATCTATGTTAAAATATACAGATATATATATTTCAAGTTTTTTTTTTTAGCTCAAACAGAGTCTTGAGCATATTCATATAGCAAATCCACATAACCAGTGTGCACCCTAATGTACATCTTTGAACTGTATGTTAATCAGTACATGAAGCGTACCTCTGAAAAGAGTCCGTCATTTGGGAATTTACTGATTTGTTTTTTAACTGCAGTTTTCACAAACTACGGATGATGAAATCCTCTGTATTGTAGAAAATGCCTTTAAACTATCGCTGTTCCTACTTACTGAGTTCCCTAGCTACTTCTTTACTATGTGAATAAACTATTTGAACAAGAAAGGATTTAAAGACACATTCAAGCAAAGGCAAAAAATTTGTAATGAAATTTATGTGACCATTCTTCTGAAATCACAAATTACCGTAGATCATTAATAGGGAACAAAAAAGGAGGATCACATCAGCAATGGGAGACAGAAGTCTTGACACGTGCGTATAACTTAAAACACAAAAAACCCAGTTACAGCTGGTAAGATTTATGGTATAAACCAGACTTTCACAGTCTGCATCTTTACAGGGTTTTTTTCTGCTTTTGTTCACTCCTAGTGTGATTAACAAACAACAACCACAAACACAGAGCCCACTAACTATTAGCTGCTTTCCCCCCTAAACAGTCAGTTGACTGAGAGAAATGCAATCCATTATTGTTAACACTGAAGGAGATGTGCTCCATAGTCAGACTTATATTTCCTTAACTTACATCCTATGTTCTGTTTAATTCCGACATCCCTTTGATGGAAAATTGGTTAAACCATTGCTCAACTTATGTCTGAATGACGGCAGATAATTCTGATGAAAAGGAAACCCGTAAGCACTTTGCAGCTGAGTCAAGGGTTCGTGGAAATAAGGTCAGGAGGTGTCCGGTATGAGTGCGCATGCGGCCTGACATTCCATTTGGGGCATCTGACAGACACATTAGTGCAACTCAGGGTGTGAGCAGCAACTCCTGTATGCTAAACATAAGAAAAGTAATGTGTAGTGCTTCTTTTTTTCTTTTTCTTTTTTACAACCGAGATTCCAGGACTCATGCTTGTATGGTTTTCTTTTATTCAAAAACAGGTTAGTTTAGCGATCGTGTAACTGTGTAATTGACCTTTTTACCGGTTTGAGGAGTTGGTTCCCTGGTCCAGATATTTGGGATGGTCAAATACCGAGTCTCCAAATGCAAACAAAAGGATATTTTCCACTTTATATCTTAAATGTGTATAAATGAGATCGGATGATGTCCGATAAAAGTAATAAACAAGAAATGTAAATCAGTTTTTTTTAACTTTGCAGACTCATTTACCCACTCCAGTGAAAGCGGTAAAAAAAACGATCATGACTTTAAAGAGATTATGAACAAAATGCAATAGCCTACATTTTGTTTTTTGCTACATTAACAACTTTTCCAACTCTGATTCTATGTAGGACCCACACGGACATCAGTTCAGACTGAAATCCAGTTCAGACGGCACACGCAACATGTTCAAGCTTGCACGGAGGCCTTTCAGTAAATATAAGAAGATGGTTAAGGCGAGAGATTGCTATTCAAAAAAGACAAAAGTTTTTTTTTTGTTTTTTTAAAATGACGCTTTACAACAGTTCAAGTATCTTTGTGTTTACGGGGAGAAGGGAATAACTGCGGCCGAGGCTCTGAAAAGAGACGGTCGATGACCTGCTACTTTGAGCTGGTTAACGAACGTAAGACTGAGTGCACAGACATAATCGATTGTCTGGACAATAAGAAATTCTAGATATGTTTTCCACAGGGAGCAGATACGGAAATAAAAGATGTAGCCATCCCAGGGCAGCAGAAACCTCCACACGCATCAAATAATGCAAAGCGCAGCGGTGGAATGACATTCTTAGATGTAGCACAGCAGAACGGATTGAGTCTAAAGACAGCAATCAAAGAAACGGGCAGCAGCATTGACCGTAAGGAGGTTTACGATCTACTTTGCCAGCAGTATCCGCGTCTGAAACGATGGATGTAGAGTAGATTCCCTAAAAATTCTTTTCTGGAAGCACTGAAATACAGGAAGGAGACCTTTGGAAAGAGCCGACAGTCTTTTACTGAAATTCGCAGTGTTATGTTGCTGCTCGAACTGAGCGAGTCAGTTTGTCTCATAACTGGTTCCTTCATAAAGCAAGGCACAGGCTTTGTGCTATTTGACAACTTTGTCTTGACCAACGCCCACTTATTCGACTACTGGGTTAAATCAAACACACCTAACTGGCGTGAATTTGTAAACGTTACTGTGGTCTTTAACTTTGAAGACCAAGAATCAGACAGGAACAACCTCAGCGCTAAGGTGTTCATCGGCAATGATAAGTTAGATTATGTCATACTTAAGCTGGAAACAGAGAAAGTGCCGCCAGGGCTCCTTAAGAGATTTGGACCTGTGCCTTCAGGCGGCGAGGCCTGTGTCGTCGGACGCCCAGGAGGAGGAGTGGAAAAAAAAGAGTCCTACGTGCGTCGTCAGAGAGGCGAGAGAACGCTGAGAATAATGAAAATGTAGAAGACTGCGAGGAATTTTGCAGTCTTTGTGAAATCAATCAGCAGATCAAAAATGACCCTATGAAAATATCTACGTCACCTACAACACTCTCATGTAGCTACCACGGCTCTTCCGGCTCCCCGGTTTTCGATGCCGACGGACGAGTGTTTGGTCTGCACAGTGGCGGGTTTTTCTATGGGTTTCCGAATCTTAGTGAGAATGTGATTGCGTAAGCCTTTCCTCTGCTCACTATATTTGAAAACTATGTGGACAATCTGAAGAAAGACGAGTATGTGGAGGTGTTGGAAAGAGTTGAGGAGGAGGCAAAGGGAAATCCTCACCTAGAAAACATTATAGCCTCTGTTGTGGGGTCAAAGAAAGGCAAACCTGATGCATTGTTGCAGGAAGTTGAAAGTAAAACAGATTCTGAGGAGATCAGTGATGGCTGTGTAGAGACAGAATGATCGCAGTAGTTTGTTTGCCTGTTTTGTACAGACAAGTGTTGAACTCTTTTTTACAAATTTACAAATTACGAATTTACAAATTCTTAGTTTCCACTCGTTATCATTTTTATTACGACAAAGGGTATGGGGCTCTTGACAACCATTTTCACCATTGGTCGATAAATGTTACCATTTTTAGAAAAAACAAGGACAATTTGTTTTGCCCCTACATAGAGACTACACCCGAAAGTCTCTACATGCGTTCTTCTTCCCCACTCTCGCCAAGTGCGAGATAGGTGATTATTGGATCATTGGGCTTCTCCATCTGTATTGTAAGATCTTTACCTTACAATATAAAGCATCTGGAAATGACTTCTTGTGAAGTGGTGTTTTATATATAGAACTGAACTGAATCCAATTAATCGCCAAATTTAAACCCCCAAGTTAAGTGGCAACTTGTATTGCATCTCCCTTTCCTGTGATCCATAATAGTTTGTAAATGACATATCAAACACACATTTCCTGTGACCCCGTGACTCTAGTAACATGTTTGGCTGTTAAGATTTGCCAGGGGATTGAAGACGAATGCTAATTTTGACCTTTGGTCTTTCAAAGTCTCTCTGAATCAAAATATTGAAGTCCAAGTGGAGTCATGAGTGGTTGTTCACTTAAAGCAGGAATGCAAGTAAGATATATCTGAACTGAGGGTTAAGTGAGTTCACACGAATGTACAAACGTATGCTTTTTCTTGACAGCATAATGTCATCCAATAATCTGCATTTGTTAGTTTGCATTTGCTCTTTTATTTGCACACTCGCATAGATGACACAACACAGTTTCCTGGGAGCCAAAGAAACACATTATTAGCCTAAACAGTCACTCAAGGTGCCCTATAGAACAGGGGCTGTATCCACAAAAAGCGATGTTCAAGTTTTCACAGTCACATGTAGATTTCAGATAGAATTAGATGATTTCTCTACTTTTGGATGCATTGGATTTGTTTTATGAATACAGACCAAGACCTATAGAGTTAAACATTTAAACCATCATGTGTTCCAAAATGAAAGTTTGACATATTTATGGTTTAGCACAAAGGTCTACACACACACACACACACACACACACACACACACACACACACACACACACACACACACACACACACACTCTGCTGTTAACTGCGATACCATCAACACTTGTGATCCAAGGTCCTTACTCTGATGCAGTTTACATGGATCCATATTGCTGTCAATAACATCTGTTCATATCGGTCACAGGTTTGCTCCAACTTTAGCCTCATATTCAGTATGCTTGTTTACATAATGATATAGCTTATGAGTCTATAAAAGCACTGGGAAAGCAAAGGAATGTTTGCAAACTACATTAGGAGTCAATAAATGCCCTGTGACACTATGAGCACAGTGACACGGGGGTCAGATCAGACTCTGATTTGATGGATATTGCTTTTTTCCCCGCTCATACACAGTCTCATTTTAACTCTTGATCTTCATTTTCTTTGCAGTGTCTGTTTCCCCTGTCTTTCCTATCCGTTTCACCCCTGTGGGGCTAACCTGAGCTGGTCTGGGTTCACCTAGGATAGCAGCAACCAGGGCCTCTGGTGCAGTCACCACACTACCTGGAGACACAGGGCTGCGAGGACTGAGCGGGCTGATGGTGGGAGATGGCACGGCGTCGGGGGACATCAGCCGCTCCTTTTTAGAGCAGGGAGAGCGGCTTCGTGTCTGGCTCTCTTTGGAGCGAGGCCCGAGGCTGAGGCTCTGCAGAGAAGGGAGGGGATTAGATGAAAGAGCAGGAAGTGCAGGGCTGCGACTGCGCCGGTGACGGTGGTGGTGTTTGCCCGCTTTAGGGCTCGGGCTGCGGGAGTTTGGAGCCAGCAGAACAAGAGTGCTGTCATCTTCAGAGCTGACATCGGAGCTCTCGGAGCGACACACGGTGGGACTGTGAACTGGCATGTTGATCTGTTGAGGACAAGACGTATGTCGGCACAACGGTCAATATGCTTTACAAGTAAGTACAATAAGTGCAAGTGAATTAAAAATAATAATTAACTTAAAGATATCAGGCACTTCGTGTCTTTTGACAATCTGCATTTTCGAGCAGATTTTTAATGTTGTGGCCAGGTAAAGTGGGGGTAATTTCACTGCTTGCACAGTGGTAGCAGTTTAATCTCCATATTTTGACTCAGATAAATGAAAAGTAGCGGACATATTAAGAAGTTTTATGATAAAATATTCATGTTTTTCTCTTTGATAAGCCCAGCTGCCTTATTCACGCGTCCTGTTTTGTCAGTCAAACAGTTGGAAATTTGTCAGATATTACTTCACTCTCACAGAGGACAAACAGATCCTGGAAATATTCACATTTAGTGGATAGAATCGTATTTTTTTGCTATTATATTTGCATTTAAATGGCAAATATAATATACAGTTTACTTATATATACAGTATACACTAGCCATGCCATTTATACCTGTTCAACTGCTTATTGATGCAAATATCCAACTAGTCAATCATATGGTAGCAGCTCAGTGCATATAGACGTATAAATATGGTCAAGATGACCTGCTGAAGTTCAAACTGAACATCTGAACTAGGAGGAAAGGTGATTAAAGTCGGTTTGAACATGTTCGTTTCAGTATTTCTGAAACTGCTGATCTATTGGGATTATCCCACACAGCCAGTATGGACTGAAAAAGAGAAAATATCCAGTGAGCCGCAGCACTCTGGGTGAAAATGCCTGTTGATGCCAGAGGAGAATAGCCAGACAGTTTCAAGCTGATAGGAGAGCAACAATAATCCAAATATCCTCTGGTTATGACCAATGCATGTAAAAGATGATCACATATCAATAATGTGAGTGAAGTTGCCCCCCCCACCTTCTTCAAATCCAACAAAAGTGGTATCAAACGTTCGTGCTGGTTCGTGCTGCTATCATTTTAAAGATATTAATAAAAATTTCTAGAGGTCGTCAGAGGTCAACCAGCCCCCCCACATTAATGGAATCAAACAAAACTGGTATCATTCAACTGTGCTATGTTTGTGCTGGTTTGTGCTGCTGAAATTGTCGTTTGTGCTGCTTCCGTTTTAAAGATGTTAACGAAAATGTAAAGGTCAAAAGGTCAACACAGAAAATTTCTTGAATATCTTTAAAATGATAGCAGCACAAACGACAATCTTTGCAGCAGAAACCAAATTTTTGCAGCACAAACCAGCACAAATGTAGCACAAACGTTTGATACCACTTTTGTTGGATTTTTAGAAGGTGGGGGGGGGCAACTTCACTCACATGTGCACAATATGTCAAACCTTGAAGCAGATGGGCTATGGCAGCAGAACACCACCCTGGGTGCCACTCCTGTCAGCTAAGAACAGGAAACTACGGCTACGTTTCATCAATCTTCAGCAACTGTGTGATTAACTGTGTGATCCTATAATGTCAATATGTACCCAGATTTCAGAGGAATGTTTTGCAGCACCTTGCCCTAACCCTGGTGCTAGGAAGACATACCTAATGAAGTGGCTGATGATTGTACCTGTGTACCTGGATCTGTTCTTGACTAACAGGAATGCATTTGCTTCACGTTGTTCTATAATTCGTGTTACCTGAATTGGTGATGACAATCCAACAATGCTGTTCATGTTATGACTGTAGTAACCCAGGATATATTCACAGTCATCTCTCGGCAAATCCTCCTCTGAGAATGTCACCTGTGGAGAGAAAACCAGACAGAGTATCTCTGAGTTCAGCTCAAAACATATTTGTGAATTTGTGCTAAGGCTCACCTGCGTTGCATGCTCCGCTTTGGCCCACACATACGCCTGATAATCTTTGTGATGTCTGAATCCAACCTGCAGGAAGATAATTGCAGGTGCTGACACTGTGGGAAATATGTGTAATAATTTATAAACTTAAGACTTACCTTGTATATTGCCACCCAGTCCCATGAGCTGCGCTGATAAGTTGATGCAACAGTGAATCTGACTGTAGCATCTGAGGCTTTGCACCATTCCTTGTTTACCTGCAGTTCCACCAGAGGCATATCCACCCTGAATGGGAACTAGGAGATAAGTTATAGATAGTTAGATAAAGCACAACCTAGCAATGTAACAACACAGAGATGTAATTATGGCATGCTTCATCTGTGGTCATATGATAATCATTGTCTCACATGTAGTGAAAACAGGGCAGAAACAGGTTTGTGGTCACTGATGGTGAAACTCATGTGACTGCGATACGCATGCTGTGTCACTTTAGTTGCCCCCCCCAACCACGAGGTCAGGCCACGCTGCAGTGCTGCATTGTGGGTAGGAACTGGTGAACCAGTGCGGCGAAGACGCCATAGGATGCGATCTGTCCAGGCAGGTTTCCTCTTTTTAGCACTGACAGAGAAACAGACACACGGTTATAAGTGGTGGAAACTTTGCTTTTAGACAATAAAATCAACAACCCTGTTTACACTTGGTTTTAAAATGCATTTCAGACATCTGAACACCAACTGGAGAGCTGATAATTCATCATCATTTATACTTGCTACTCCAACCCTAATGCTCACTTCTGTTTACGGCCAAGGTTGATAAGCTGAAGGTGAAAGAGCCCCTCAGTTATCACACACAATAGTTACAAAAATGTTCAGATCTGCTTCAAGAATAAATGCTGTTGTTCCCACAAGGGAAAATGATTGTTGGAAACAGCAAAAGGGCCAAAATTATTATGAAACTTGTGACAATTTTGCCTTTGAGATGATTACTTTAAAGATGAGGACCAGGTTTGTGACCACTCACAGTTAATTGCTGTCTTCAAGGTGAGTCAAGATGGCGATACAACGGCATTAGGATGGAGTCAGTCTGTTAGTAGCTTGAGACTGAATGCGGTCAAGTTGGCAAATAGAAGCAGTCTGTTTGTGATGATACAGGAGCTAACTTTGATAAAACTGTGAAAATCACAAATCTGCTGCTTTCTACATGCACAGAAATTCACATTCACTACTTACATTTAGATCCTCATTTGAAACAGAAATTCCATAAATAGTTACATAGTTTCTGCAGGACAGCAACTTTACTGCAAAATGATACATACGCTCAGCTACCTTACTGTTATATAGAAGTCTAACCAGAATACAACCAGTTGAGTCCAGTCCCCCATTGCAAAGAGATCAGACTGATTCAGTTTGATTCTGTTGTGTTGTCAATCTGGTGACAAGTATTTGAAACCCTCCATCAATCTGTATGAGCCGGTCTGACTGGTTGACCGTGTCAGTTTGGAGGCAGGTTGCCTCTGATCAGCTGATTTGTGTTATCACCTTGCAATTGAAACTGTTGTCCAGAGGTTAAAAGTGTTGCGTATTCAATCTTTGGACAATCAAATGGCAATCATTTACCAGATGGAACAATAATAATGCAATTACCAGGCAACCACCAATTTTTCCTATAGTCACAAGAAGGTTACAATCCTATTTCTATTCTGGTGTGACTGATTCATAATATGTGTCCGTGCTATTCCACCTGATGAGACTGAGTGGATGTCCTTCAAAGTCAAAGACGACTACACTGATGACACTTTGTGTTATGTCCTTATCAGAGAAACATCCTGACATATTAAAATTTAGGATCATAGTGTGTCTCCACTTGGGATCTGATTGCCCAAGATGCATTTTAAAACCAAGTGTAAACAGGGTCTAGATAGAGATGACTGAACCAACCTGGTATCGTAGGTATGAGTGCCTACATCAAACTTATAAGTAGGTGGGAATTTAAGTTGTCCCTCCATGAAGCCTTCCAGGATGAGCTCTGTGTTTTTAGCCATGTTGAGCTACAGAGTAGGGCAAACATTCCAGAATTATAATATTAGAAATTATTATTATTTAAACACAGGTTTTTGTGCTACAGCTCCCTCTGTTGGTTGTAGTGTCTGATTAAACAGGTGGCATGAAGCCTTCCAGAAAAATCCATCTGTCTCTGTGAATGTGTGAATGCTTTATTAAAATGCTGAAGGTGCCTCACCTGATCCCGCTCCCACAGAAGAGGCAGCTTATTGCTGTCAATGGCACATTTCACCACATGGATATCATAGTCTTCAATACGGAAATTTAAATCCCCAAACCAAAACACGACACTGGGAACAGAATAAAGAGGCCTTTACTTCAGGAAGAGAGCACAGATACAAAGAATAAAACAGTCAATTTACCACTGTAGTGCACTGTGCCTATGTAGATTCAATTAACAAAAAATTAACATAAATACATATCATTATTAGCTAAATTAAGCGTGCATGCTAAGGGTTCAAGAGGTTCGATCAAAGCAGGAAACATTTTTTAACAAATATATGTGTGGGATTTGTTCATTGTTATAACTTAATAATGACATCACTTTGTATGGGTGTGCAAAGCTTTTTTCAGTTAATTAGACTTTTTATTAAAAAGAAAAAAGAAAAGTCACCCACTCATGGTCTAGTACACCAGTAGCAGCCCCTCCTTCAAACTGCTGCTGCTGCAGGATGCTTTCAAAGTCTTCCATCCTCTGTTCCAGGTTCCTCATGTGAGCTGGCAGGTGACAGTTGAGGAAGCACACGGGGTGGCCGAACATGGTCATCCTTGCACTGACGCCGCCTTTATTCCCCTTAAAATGACAGGAAAGGGCGAAGCATGCAGCGTCAAAAGGACCTCTTATGCAGACAAGATTTAAAATTAAACAAACATCAGCGTATATCAACCAGATCTGTGCTCGGGGACAAGGTCGTGTTGTTTTTTTTTCCCCAACACTCACAACACCAGAAAGCCAGACAGTCTGCTGCTGCTGCACTGACCTCAAAGAGAAGGAGACTGCACCAGCAGCAGCCAGGGGTGATGCTGACATCAACATGCACAGGAAGGTCACACACTGACATATGCACCCAGGCATGCATGCACCTGCTGGCAGGAGGGAGCACACACACACTATATCTTCCCTTGCTACCCCCAGTGACATGAGCCCACTTCAACTTTTGCAACATCATGAATCTCAGCTGGTTTCAAAGCAGCACTCTGTAATGTGTAGCACGTACCCAGTATCCCCCAAGTCCTGTGCGTGTACTCTGTGTCTGCACACCTCTGAGAAATGGAAGGTGGCAGAATTTAGAGAAAACCAGCAGCAGCACTCCCTGCATTCGCTGGGACGCCACCTGAACACATGAGATGGATGAAAAATAATATATCCATAGCAAAAGAAACTACAATTCTAATGGCGCTAAAGGTTATGAAGGACAACAGATTTCACTCCTTACTGACCAAAACATATCCAAAAGGGCTGAGTGTGTCCATGCAAAGCTCACTCCACTGGTCTGAGAAAAGAACATCCTTCAGTCTTTTGTTTATCATGGAGTTGACTTCTTGGAGTCTGGATGGTGCCAGAAAGTAGAGAAATGTCAAAATGAAAATAATAATACTAAAAAAAAGGACAGTGATGGGTAACAGGAGGGGAAGAATCAAAATGAACACAGATGACTGAGTGGGCATTCACGGCTGTCTCTTTGGCACCGCTGAGCCGTGCAGAATTACTTGCTTACCCGATGATAAACATGTCAATGTTCCCATCTGAGACATTTGGTCCAAAGAGAGAAGTGATGTCATCTGGCGGCACAGCTGATCCCACGTTCCATGTGATGATGTACACCCTTTGAAAGGACAAAAACAGTGGAAAAATTGCATGAGTTCTATAGTTTAAGGTAAACAAGGACGTAATCCATGCTGTAATCCTCAGAGAAAGAGCTTTCATCAGGGTTTCTGTGTACAGAAAAAAAGATAAGCACAATTAAGCACCTCTGCATCCCTTGATGATGACTAAGTATTCTGCCTGCCTGTGTGTCTGTGTGTGTGTGTGTGTGTGTATTTGTGTGTGCATGTGTGATTGTGGATGATTTATGGCAAAGATAAAAAGAAAGTATGGAGCTAATCATCCTTTGAATTACCAGTTTGATTATTTTGTGCTGAAATATCCAAAATAATTAATTAAGACTCCATCTAACCATCAGTTTCTTTGGTTTGTGATTTTCCTCGGTTAACAGAAACAGTGAGAACCACTGATTCACTTTTGCTTTAACGTGAGATCAAGAAAAAGAAACACATCCTGTTTTTCGAACCGCTGGAACCAGCAAGTATTTGGCATTTTTTCCCCAGAAAAAAAAATATTTGAGGTTAAATGGACTCAGTGAATCAGCTTTACACCTCTGCACATTTTGCTTGTCATTATTTGGATATGCAATTTCTGCACTGACAAAATGGGTTTATTAGCACAGACACACGTTCGGGGTCAAATAATTTATGTAAATAGACATCCTGTTGTTAGTTACAGTGCTTATTTACAGAAATAAAAGCACATCATTAGAGTTAATATTCTGCTCTACCGATAGCCATTTATTCATAATTTAAAGTGTGCAGATATGATTTGTTGTGAGCTACATTACACCAAAAAAAAAAAAAAAAACAGGGAAAAAAAAGTGCCTTTGGATGAATTTGAGAGCTGATAAACTTGGTGTCATCTAAACAGCCTTTGACATCATTTTTTCATTCAGTCCAAAAGATCCAAATATCTCAACATTATTAGATCTTTTTCTTACAAATGTGCCCAACAAATATTAACAAATATTCATCTGTTGCAGAATTTTGTAATTATAACGTGCCATTGCTTGTTTAAGAAACTTAAAATCACCCAAGCTCAAACTGCATTATGTTTTTAAAAGGTGTTTTAAGACATCTGAAGCACAACCTTTAGTTTTACATGTACAATAGTGCTGTGCGATAATGCAAATTTTGACATCGATCTGATTCCAGAAAAATACAGGTGCAGTATTGCAGATACCAGTCCTGATACTTTTAACTTGTAAGGGTAGCTTAAGTAGGGAGATCAGTGTGTCCTGATTTATAATATAAATTATCATCAACCCATAAATTCTAAACACATTTTAATGAAAACTAAATCATTGTGATTTTCTTTCACAATAATGAGTTAACACATCAAAACAGTGTTTTCAGCATTTCATGTATTTTGAAACAGTTTGGATTTTTTTGACCTGGAATGTAATTGTGGCTTTCTCTAAAGCACTCTAGGTCACCTTCTGTCCATTATCCATTATTATTATTATTATTATTATTATTATCAATGGATCCATTTGTTTATAGAACCAATTCTGCTGCTGTAATCTGTAAAGCTTTGAAATCCATTCACCCCCCCAAAAATGTCAACTAGACCTGACGGTATGGATGCTTATCTTGTAAAGCTTGCAGCTGATTTTAATCCTGAGCTTATTAATTACATTTTTCCCATCTGAGTCTGTAGACTAATGTTGTTACTAAAATATGGAAAGCAGCCTGTGTTCTCCTCTTATATAAGACTTGGCACCAATTATTGCCAGTGATATATAAACTTTATACCCTGCCAAATTTCAAGAGTCTGAAATAAACACTCACCTGAAACAATATTTGTCTGACTTAAGTCTTAAGTCAAACTAGGTCTGTTCTCAAATTGGGTTTTAGTACCATAATAGCCAGTGTTTTGGTAACAAATGATATTATTAATTCCCTAAGTAGGACAGAGCATTGTGCTGCTATGTTTTTTTCTGATCTTTCAAATGCATTAGGTTCTGCTTACAATGAGTTGCTGTTAGGCAGATTCAGTGATACTGGTTTGAGTTACAGGGCTTCACTTTATATAGAACACAGTGCCAAACCAAGTTTCCTAAAGAACAGAATACCCCAAGGTTTAGTTTTGGGTCCTGTTTTATTTTCTATTTTTAATTGAGAACATTGGGAAGAATATGCCTCAAGCTAAAGAGCTAACGTGAACCTTTATGCAGATGACACCATCATTTCCTCTTTAGTCATTACGGTGATTTAGGCTGTTTGTGAGTTTCAAACAAGTGATGACTTTTAGGAATTGCGGGCATCACTGAAAGGTTTCAAATTCATTCACATGCCTAAAAAAACTGAGCTCATGTTGGTTTCTAGAAATCGCTTTCAAATCTTAGACAATGTCGGTCTTTGAACTGTAGGAGAGAAGTATTTGGTTGGATGCCAACTTTCCTTTAGTGCTGAATATTAAGCACTTGGCGAAAAAGCTGAAAGTCAGCCTTGGTTTTTATTATTGAAATAGGGCCTGTATTAATTGATCAATTAAGAAAACATTTGCATAGGCTACACTCTTAAATGTACTTGGTTATGGTGACATTATTTACATGCATGCTGCCACCTCTGCACTTCATTTTTTACATGATGTGTAGTATTTACACTTTATTGTCTGGTACACATCACTGTGTACTTTATAATCTGCTTCCCTGGCCTTCGTTAACCCAAAGGAGACAACCATAATTTATGTACAAAGCCATACTGGGTAAATTCCCTTCTTATCTGTGTAAACTCCGAACCCCTTTAAACAGCTGCTATGATTTGCGTTTCTCTTAGTGGCTCCTTTTTAGGGTACTCAGGATTTTTCTGAACTTGGTAGAACAGTATAGGATACAACAGTATCCCGTTTTGCACCTTGGTCTTGGAATAACCTTCAGAGGACAATTAAGCTGAAAGCTTTTATCTCCCTGGGAGACTTCAGAGCACTCATATATGTTCTTCTGTAACCAAAGACTGCAACTGCTATTCATAAACTGAACTTGATATTTTGTATTGCGTTACTTATTGACTTTGACTTGCTTTACTTTGTATAACATGTAAGCATTGATTTTATAATTTCTAATTTTATAATGGTGTGCCTCCTCAGCCAGGTCTCCTTGTTGAAAAAGATGTATTAATCTCAAGGGACCTTCTAATTAAATAAAGGTTAAATAAATAAATAAACACAACAGAAGTGCCTCTGGGAAATCTACCAACACAATGTGGCTGTGTCACTCTGTCAGTTCAAAAAGCTTTTAGTGAAATTTGCTGCTGTGATTTATGTGATGTGGTCTGGCACACATCAGCTCTCTTATCAGCCCTGACTGAAGGACAGCATCTGTAGCTGTGCTTCAACACAAAATGGGCAAACAGCCACACACATTGTTTCTCTCACCTGAAGTCATTGTTCTCTCCTCCTGGCTTCTCAGACTGAAGCTGGCTCTGTGCTGAGCTTCCAGGTGAGGGGGTCTTCTGGGGCTGAGGGCTGAGGCTGGGCTTGAAGCTTAGGCTGGAGGGCAGGTGAGGTGATGGCTGGCGAGGAGAGGGGGGAGGGGGAGGAGGGGATGGTGGTGGTGGTGGAGGAAGGCAGGGGGTCGGGTTCAGGTAAGGCTGAGGGCAATGGGGAGAATGAGGACTGTGAGGAGGCAATGAAGAATCTGTTGGGGAGTGTAGGAGTATGTTTGTACTCTGAGGTCCTGGGATGCAAATAGGGATCAAATCTATCTCGTTGGATGGCTCCACTGAAATTCTGGTTCGCCTTGGTTTATTTCCAAGAGCAGTTGGCCTTGGTCGGCTTATGCATGCCAGTGTTACTGGAGTGGACGCAGGCTTCGTCTGCCCTGACTGCATCTGCTCAGTCCCCCTTTTTGGCATAACGACCACCTGCATGGGATTCAATCCAGACGTTTTCTTGAGCTTTTCCGACTGGCTGCTTAGAGGTGCTTCCTGTGTTTGGAGTTGTGGAGGTAAATCCAGACCAGCTCCAATTAATGAACAGTTTCCAGGCTGTACTTTATGGCCACAAGGGTCCGTGCCAACTTGTTTCTGCGGCAGGCGATCCATCAACCTGTAACATCGTGTTTATGACATTTTTCTTAATGGTGTTTAAAGGAAAAAGAAATCACAGTGATTCTGCTTGCAGAATGTAAAAAAGGCACAAAATTGCAACATTGCTTGTCAGCACACAATTGGAAGAGCAAAAGAAGTGCCTGCAGTGAGTGGAAAATGAGAAAGAGTATTACATTATTTTGAGTACCTGTCCACATCATCCTCCCTTGGCGTCACTGATGATGTTATCATGACTAGGCAACTGGGCTAAGGAACTAACTTTAGGCCTGCTGCGTCCTGGATTACACCCTAGCTGCTAAGCACAGTTAATTAGCCCCTGACCCTCTTACAAAGCAAAAGAAAAGATTGTTAGTAGTTATTTAGATAAGGAATAGGGCTGTAATGTGCTTTTAGAGCACACTGCTTTTTGTAATCTCTCACTTTAAGATTTGAGTTCAGTCAGAAGGGAAGCAAAGGGGATCGGACACAGCTGCAGATAATGAAGCACATCAGGCAATGTCAACAGATGCTGTGGGTCACAAGCGTAGGTGTCAGTTCCGCTTGAATATTCAGGAGGGGACACATTAACCTGGGGTACGTGTTAGTCCCCTAGGAAATTTGAAGCATTGTACACTTCATTTCCTGCATTCTGGTGATTTTAATGCTCCAATTTGTTTCTTTCTGTTTAGAAATGTCAAAACTAACCCCACAAATAACAATTTACAACAGCCTCCTGGAATATAATGCAGTGAGTCTTTCAGGCTTTTTGTCTCAATTTTGTATATATATATATATATACATGCATAGATAGATATGAGCTCATCTCTGGTGAGTGGACACATATAGGCTGATTTACTCTCCTGCACTCCACTCCTTTGTTTCTGCCTGGATCTTGATGCTTAACAAGTTGACAGTTTGTGCCTTTTCTTTGGAGTAAAGTAAATGCACACCTCTTATCTTTTCACAGATTCACTAATAAATCCACATTCAAAACTTCCTGCACATTTTATACAATCGTTTTTTTCTTGGCTATGTTATTGAGACTTACCGAAAATAACAAATGACACAAACTTAAGGTTATTTAATAAACTAACAACATTTTTAATGTCCTAACATTAAACCTCATCCTCATCATTTCTTTCTGTGCTCCGGCAAATTATCAGAAGTCAAGCTTTGCAGCTTCTGACTGACATCAAAACAGGGTGTGTGTTCGTGGGCTCAGTGGGATTAATTACATTTAGGAGAAAAGATCCAGTGTTGTGAGCTTTGGATATTGCAGGGATAAATTATATTTCCAGAGTAAAAGAATGAAGCATTGCTGGAAAAAAAAAAGATTTTAGAAGCATTTTCTCTGATTTTATTTATGGAGTCAAATGTGTTCAACCCTAAAATCTACACCTGTGGTTACATGAAAGAGGATGCCTGACATAAGAAGGACAGGTGCCTCCCTCCATTTTGTTTAAAGTCCTTCCACTCATAAATTATACACCTCTGTTAATAATGAATGACGTTCAAATGAGGACATCTTTGTAACTGAGAAATTCACGTGATCACAGCAATAACCCGTGAAACAGAGCTGTGAGTAATAGCGATCACACAGGTTTGAAGTCAAGAGGAAACTTTTGGAGCTTAAAACCCGGTGCCGGTGGGCCTTTCACATATGCACCCCCCCATGAGGCTGCAAGTCTGAATGACAGCTCCGTTTTAAACAAAGGTAAGAGACTTATAGAAAACAACAACAACAAAAAACGCAGTTTTACAGGTGCAACCAAGACAAACACAAAGACAGCGGCTGTTTCTCCCCTCACACTGACGCTGTGAGGGGAGAAAATTACCTTTCATGCGTTGTTATATTTCCAAGGTGAACGAAAAGGTGAGCTCACACATTCATCAGTCCTCTTCTTCTTCTTTTCTTTTTCTCGCACACTTATGAACGTGAGCTGGCTGTCACAGAGTAAAATCGATGATGTCCGGAGACAGTCTCGTCCGGTCTGCAGGGCTGATGCGATACCGTGGATCGTCTTGTCACGGTGCAGCCTGCGCCGCCGCCGGGCTGTCAGGACAAAAAACGGTCACGGTTGATGCGCCCGGACTCTTGCGTGTTGATGCCTGTGCCGTGATACAGCAGCTGATTATACCTCATCCTACTTACTATCGCTGCCTCTGGCTACCTCGCGCAGTTCGCCGGTGCAGCTGTGCACTTTGTAGTCAGCATCCCGCCTGCACCTCCTGCACAGCAGTCTTACACCGACCCAGCGCCTCTCTTTCCCTCTCTGTCTTCCCAGCACACAACCTCTCCTTCCCTCTCTCCATCACACATACACCCTAGATAAAAGCATGAACACCAGGGGGTGGGCAGAGCAGGACAGGCAAAACAAAATTCAGCTGCCAAAGTGCAGCCGGCCAGAAATAACTGAGCATCTGTCCTATCACTGACGCATTAATCTGACATTAGTGCGTCACTGATAGCACGAATTGATCCATATGTCAATATTTAAATTTCACTTTGGGCACTGGCAGCTGGTAATATTATGTAATATTATGTACATCACAACAATCCATTAAACGAACAAAATAATAAGCGTTAATAGCAACTGATGGTGTTTATGCCGAGCTTTTTTGTCGAGCCTATCAAGAAACAGAATTTAGATGTATAATGTTTGTGACTTTGCATTTTTTTTACGTTTGTATTATATTCCTTAATACACACAAGCTTGCGCAGTAAACAACTGCAAAAAGCAACCGTGTCTCAACAGAAAACATATTACCTCAAAAGTACTGTTATTACTGTTTGGGCCAGTAGTAGGGCCAGTCTATAGAGTGACAATGCATTCAAACCAAACTGACTACATACAACATTTTCTCTAAAAGAGCATTTAATAAAGCCTTTAATTTTGATTCTTTGCAAGGTATGAAAATTACTCTACAGATTGTGCTGGACTGCATTTAAATGCACATCAGAAAAACTCTTGTGAACATACAAGAGATTCCAGAAAATAAAGTGTGAGGCATCATAAGAAACATCACAGCAAGAAAAAGGGAACATTTGTGATCAGGAGTTTACATCCACGCAGCATGAGCATGAATGTCATGGTAATTTGGGGCTTTTAATGATTTCTTTGTACTGTTCTGTTTCCTGGATGGAAAAAGACTCTAAAAATCAAGAATTGGGTGCACAAGTTTGACTTAATTTTATATTTTTTCTGATCCACACAGATTCAAATATATACCCCACTAATATTTCGTACAGGGATTCTCAGCAAGCTGCTAAGCTTAAGCTTAACAAGCTTCTGCCACAGTTCTGGCTGGATATTTCATCACTCTTCTTGGCAGAACTGGTAGAGTTCATTTACATTAGTTGGTTTCCTTGACTGGACCCGGCTTTTAAGCATAGTCAACAAATTTTCAATAGGGTTGAGATCAGGGCTGTGGGAAAGCCGCTCCAGAAGCTTAGTATAAGCCTGCGTTATCCATTCAAAAACCTGTTTTGATGTGTTTGGGATCACTGTGCTGTTGGAACCATCAACTGTTCAATGATCCACCTGCTGATTTGAGGTGAAGGTGAAATATTTGGAGGTTGTTCTTCTCCTTCAATATTCCATCCACTTTGTGCAACGTACCAGTACGACTGGCAGCAGAACAGCCTCAGAGCATTATGCTAACACCACCATGCTTAAAAGCTGGTAAGTGTGGAAGCTTTACCTTTACTCCAAACACACCCATTGTCACTGTAGTCAAATAGCTCTATCTCGGTCTTGTCTGATAATACATTTTTTTCTTCATAAGGCATTTGCTTTGTCCATGTGGGGGATCTGCAGACTTCAGTCAAGCTTGAAGGTGTTGATTTTGGAGCAGGGGCTTCTGTCTTGGTCAGCATCCTCTATCTCCATGGTGATGTAAAACACCCTTCAGTGTGGATAGTGATGCTGGTTTTCTCAGCAGTTTTCAGTTTATGGCTTGGCAGGCAGGCTGAGCCTCAGAGGTTCCTGGATTGTTCCTGAAAATGCTGACCAACTTCCTCTCATCTTCTTCCAGATCTATGCAAAGTGGTGACATATCAGAATAACTCGTATTTGTATACAGTTGTTTGAACTGATGATCTTGGAACCTGCAGTTGCTTAGAAATGGCTCAGAAAAAAAACCTTCCTAACTTGTGCAAATTGGCAATTCTCCATCTTTAGACTTTCTCAATATTCTGAGTATTGATCCTATCAAATAAATCCTTTATGCTGCCAGGCAAACTACCAGTCGTAGTCAATCATGATCACTAATGAGAAATTAACAGGCCTTGGACTTGTCAAGTTTAAAGACATTGTTGATCATGTGTGCCTTAGGGACAATCCAGAATAAATTCAAACTTGTGTACCCAATTCTGTTTTTTGAAGTTTGTAAAGATGTAGGCTGTACAATCATTCCCTTTCATGGCCCTAATGTATATATATTAAGTTCTGATCACAAATTTTAAAGGTGAGATAGTCAGAGTCGCAGACAGCCCACGTCTTTTAAACTCCACGCCCCATGTCAAGGCAAATTGTAAGCTGCTCATTAAAGTATCCAGCACACCACCAGCTGCTGGAGAAAATGGCATCAGGGAAATGCTTTAGTACCATTTTTATCAATATAACAGTAGGGGGTACAACGCATATAATGGAACTAATATTTATTAAATGGATCTGTAGTGCTTACACTCTCTGGCCCTTAACAGCATCATCATAAAAGTTGTTCCCAGAATCTCCCTGTGACTGTGGGATTAATACACATGTGTAATCTCACTGGAATGTACTGATCCAAAGTGCCAGCTGTCCACTGAGAGCACAGACGCCCACAAGCCCCTGCTAACACACACAAACCAATATGAATACTACACATTTGGCACATTCAAGTGATACATGAGCCAGATGTGATCAGAGGCGAGATGTAAATATTTAGTTGAAAAAAAGCACACAACATTGTCCCTTTTGACATCAGCTTGCTGTAATGTGTGTAATATTTGTAAAAACTGTAATCACAGCAACTCCCGAAGTTTCTGAGTCTATGGCCGCTTCTTGGTTTTAACCAGGCCTTTTTCCACCAGACAGCGGTAAAACTCCTGGATATATGTATACACGCATTTCCAGTCGGGCTCGTTCATCCGGACTAAGTCATCGGCATCCAGCAGAGGGGGGCAGCCTGCCAACCTCCTGCAGAAAGTGCAAATGTCAGTGAAAAATGACTTGAGAGAAACAATGTAAGTGTAAAGTTACTTTGTTATTTATAATTCAAAGCTCGAGTTTTTGCAGATAGGACATATAAGGAAGGAGAGCTCACTCCGCAGTGTTGAAAGCCAGCTGGAAGTTTTCCTTGGGCTTGTTGGGGTTGAGGATGGAGTACTCGAAAGCGTCAGGGAAGAAGCGGTGCACCAGGGCGCAAAAGGCAATGCCGTCTTTCCAGCTGGAGGAGAAGTTCTGAATGTCCACCCCCTGTTTCATACCAGAGCGGGATAAGTTTAGAGGGAAAAGTGGCAGCAAGAGGGACATAAGAGTCAGGGCTATGTGTAGCTCCACGGGGCAATAATTCATAGACAGAGTGAGGTAGGGCATATTTACCTCATATGGCTCTGTTTTGGCCCTGCACCAGTCCAGAAGCATCTGTTTGACATTCTTAGCGTTGGGTGCCGCAGCAGGAGGAGCAGCAGCAGAACTGGCCTTGCTGAGGAGAGGAAACAAAGACACAAAATTATGGGTCACCTCATCTTTTCACATGGCAAATGCTTTGAGCATTTTCCTGCATCATGAAGCATCATGTCTATATCAAAGAAGCAGATGATTGTTCTTTAATGCCCTTTTTGCAAAAATGTTCACCTACACCGCCTCGCATGTGACTCACCTGCCTCCTGTCCTGTTAAAGGGAGTAGCTGCTGATGGAGATGGCTGGCTGCTTGGTTCTAAAATGATGAAGCGAATTAAAGTGTAAAAATTCTTAAAACTGAAGTGCAGGATGATGCATTAACAAACATTAGGGGGTTCACAGTTACTGTTTATTGGCGGCTGCTGGTTCATGGATGCCCTTCCTATGCTAACGGTCCCGCCTGTCGTTCCCGCTTTGCTCAGACCTTGCTGTCTTAGGTTTTGCTGCCTTAACCCTCGCTCCTGCTCCCGTTTTTCTGATGATAGGCAATTTAAAGAAAGAAAAAGGAAAGCAAAGCACCAAATGAGTCATGCTTATAGCACTTCCCCTCACTATTTGACAGAGCTGTCAAAGTTTTCCTGAGATTTCACCTCTTTTTTTCTTCAGGAGATCCCTTAATGCAGAACGGATCATCCGTCTCTCTTCAAAATCTGAGGTGTTGTCGAGCTAAAACGATAATTACAGGTAAAGAAACAATATAAAGAAAAAATATTATAAACCACCTTGTAATCCGGTCTTTCAGAATATTTTTATATGACTGCAGGCATGTCTTGTAAATCTAGGCAAAACTGAGGTTACTTGGTCCTAAGTAATGTCATTACTTTGGCTTCCAGTAACACTGTGAGGAATCTTGGAGTCGTTTTTCTGACCAGGATATGTATTCAGCGCGCACATTAAACAAATATGTAGGACTGCTTTTTGTCATCTGTGCAATAATCCAGAGCGATGCTGAAAAACTAGCCCACACATTTGTTACCTCTCAGCTGGACTACTGTGATTCATTATTATCAGACTGTTTTGAAAGCTCCTTAAAAAGCCTTCAATTAATCCAAAGTGTTGCAGTTATTCTCTCAGGAGAGAGAGGGAGATCCTATTTAATATTTTGCCCATATTAGCTTCTCATCATTGGCCCAGATTTAAACCAGAAATAAAAGAACTACTAAAAGAATTATTGAACTGAATTTAAAACCATTTTCCGCACATATAAGTGTTTTTGTGGTTCCCAAAAAAGATCATTGTTATGTCAACTGGTAACATGTGATTTAATTAAATTAAGTTAACAACTCAGATCAACCCAACAGATTTAAGTTACAGTTTAAGTTTAAGTTATACAATAAGTGAAACTTAGCATTGTCACTTAACAAAAAAAACAAAACAAAAAAAAGAAATAAGTTAACGAAACAGGTTTTGATTTCAACTTGAATTGAAAGTTGATAGAAATCCCCCCAAAATTTACTAAACTAAAGCAGAAAACTGAGTGAGAATCATTTAAAACATTGCATTACATCAAATACAGTGTAGAGTTTCTAAAAGTAGAGTGGAAGGCAGAGACTTCAGCTATCAGGCCTGTGGAACCAGCTCCCAGTTTGGATTCAGGAGACAGACACCTTTTCTAGTTTTAAGATAACGATCACAACAAGCTTATAATGGCAAGCTGGATCAGGTGATCCTTAATTATGTCATAGTTATGCTGCTATAGCCTCAGGATGTTGACTTCCCATGATGAGCACTGAGCGT